AAGTGGTTGGGTTCCTGCCTATCTCCTGGAATGCATTCTGACTCACATTGTGGAAGGATGGAATTTCCATGAACTAACTAACCTACCACCTATCATTAAATTGCCATCGTAAATTAATCCCCAACTGAAAATCGCCAACAACTGGAGAAAAGAACGCAAGATATTGCCATGCCGTCGATATGACGTATGAGTGTATGTGTGCGTGTATGTCAGTATTTGCATTGTTTACCTCGCCTGTCGTGAGAAAATTGCAAGATGTCCCGAAAAAAATCCCTTTTGGGGAATTGAATTAACGGTTTTTTTGGTTAGCGTAAAACAATTGTTTTCGCTTGTTGTTCCATCTGTTCTGACCAGATAAGCTAAAATTAGTCGGGGCCAAAGATGAAGTGACGACAACGCAATGGCAATATCGTATTTTAGGGGAAATTTACCATTATCTGAATGTTTTGAAATGTTTACATGTCGCGGTGCTCAGTGTTATGGCTCTTCAAAGTCTGCCATTTCAATTTGTTATCGGATAATTGAATATATTTTCATATGTGATTGTAATAGGAAATTCATTTTTTATGCAAAAGAATGCAAATTGGACACATTTTTTTAAGCCAATAGGTTTATCAGGGCCTTTATTTAAAGTCAGCATGATTTAAAATTCATTTCAATTGATAGGAAGGGATCTATTGAAGGTCCGTCCTCAGTTGAACTTAAACCGTCGCACTGTGATTAAACGAAAAAAATTATTGTCATAATTTTCTATTTGGTATTTGAAGTTCGTAATGGATACTACAGCCTATGCAGAAAATTGTCTCGCACGTTTTCGTATAGGCCCTATATAACAGTACTCCCCTATATTCGGTATTTTGATGATTTTAGCAACATTATTCACCGGAATTGTTTCAAATTTGGATTTTGAAGTTCGTAATGAATACTACAGCCCAAGGCAAAAAATTGCCTGTGCAGGTTCACGTCTTCGCATGGCCCCCATATAACGGTACATCCCGATATTCGGCATTTTGATGATTTTGGCGACGTTATTCACAGGAATTGTTTCAAATTTGGTATTTGAAGTTCGTAATGGATATTACAGCCTATGACAGAGAATTGTCTGTGCAAGTTTACGCCTTAGTATAGCCCAAATAAAAAATCAGTACCTCCAAATATTCGGTATTTTGATGATTTTAGCTACACCTTTTTTCAAGTTTTGCATTTGAATATTCTAATGGCTTGTGACAAAAGTTGACCATGCAGGTCCACGTCGTCGTATAGACCTTAATATAACGGCTACATTCGGTATTTTTAAGATTTTAACAGCATTTTTGACGGATTTTATTTTTTTTTAAATTGTCAAATTCATTCCAAATGGTGGAGGGTAATCAAAGATCGGACCCGCCGAACTTACAGCTTTTTTTGCTTGTTTTTATTTTCTTTCTCTTTCGAGACGATTTTAATGATCTGAAGTTGGCAGAAAAATCGAAAGCCGCGTTTCGCCGTTGGTTAAGCGGCTTCTCAGGCATAATTGGTGTGGATAATGGCCTACAAGTGCCGTTATTTGTTAAGTAGAATTTATTGCGAACATCATGTGATTAAGCATATGCAAATTACACACCAGAAACCAACCAAGTTCGATTCAAGTCCTACTAGAAAATTCAGTATGTGGGGTCGTTTTATTGGAATTAATAAGACCTTCAACTTGGCCTTTTCGGTGAAAGGAAAAACTCAACATTTTAAGGAAATGTTTGGTACATATTTCCAATCAGTTCCTGTTTTAAATGTTAAAATTTTCCAAATACCTCTCTTATCTGGGAAAATATATGGCAATGTAAAATTTTAGATATTACCAGAAAATCGATTTATTTTCTCCTGTTGCCAGGCGTTCTTCTAACTCTCAATGTTCAATTCTCCATATTTCTGGCAATATCAGAACTATTGTGAATATGGAACTTGGCATATCAAATTAAGGTGAGGTGTGGAAGGGAAACAAGAATATTTTTTTCGCTTGTTATTCAAATAAGTTTCCAATTTTCACCATATTCTTCAGATCCAAATATTTTTCTGAAATTAGATAACGGTTTATAATAGAACACCCCCAATCTCTTACAGTCCCAAAAGCGGGAAAATATGTAAAAAAAAATCCCTCATTAGGAAATTACTTTGTCCCTTTTACTCCACATTTAACATTTTTAGATATTTTAGAATATATTGACAGCAATTGAGAGCACACCGGAAATAACTAGCAATGAAGGAACGAAACATCCACATTTTCCTCATTAAAGGGATCGCTGTTTAAAATAAACCTGTCCATCTAATTTCGAAAAAAAAAATGTTGTCTCAAAGATTGAATTTTAAGTGGAATTTTAAAATTAAGACTGGATTTTCATTAACATTCTAGCAACTAATTTTGAAATTTAGATACATAGCCTGAATAAAAAAAAACATTGCAGAAATCTAATTTAGAAATACTTAACTGAGAAATAGATTGGGCCAAAAATTATGTGAAACCTCAAAATATTGGTTTCCGACATAGGAAACTATATATGGACCTTCTTATCTCGCCGAGCTGAGTCGATCTAGCTAAGTATGTCCGTCCGTCCGTCTTTCCATGTTAATTTGTAATCAAAGTACAGGTCGGAATTATAGCCCGATCTTCACGAAATTTAAAATGGAGGTTGGGTTAAGGTCAGAATAGAAGCCTATTGTTTTGGGAGATGATCGAAAAATATTTAAGGATTGAAATGGACCATAAACAGAAAAAATTCCTGAATTTTCAGTAAACCAAGCGGAATTTCGGATTGAGCTAGAGTTTAGAGCTAGGCAGAAACCTACCAATTTGGACGGTCATCGGACAATATTCACCGGACAATTTCACAAATATTTTTAAAGGTCACTACTGACCATTACAGTTATGCTGATAGCCAAGATACCGGATACGTAGCGAAATAGGAACAATATTTATGTAAATGAAATTGATGTTAGTTATTCCGCCTATAAGTCAAAAACCGCTGGACGGATTTTGATAATTTTCACCAATTTGCAATGACCTTTTGCCCAAGAAGGGTTAAATCTATTAAAATCGTGCAACCATAAAAGTAAATATTTTTTACTAAAAATTTTCAATTGTTGTCACATTTTTTATCGCATGCTATTTTTATACCCTACAACACTTTGTGTTGGGGGTATTATAAGTTTGATTGGGCCAAAAATTACGTAACACCTCGAAATATTGATTTCCCAGATAGGAAAGTATATATCTCGCCGAGCTGAGTTGATCTAGCTATGTATGTCCGTCCGTCTGTCCATGTTAATTTGTAATCACTCTACAGGTCGCAATTGTGGCCCGATTTAGAATGGAGGTGGGGCTAGAGCTTTGGGCTATGCAAAAGCCTTCCAATTTTGATGGTCATCGGGTAATAATAAAATGATAATGATAAATAAAAGTCAAATTTTCCATTAAACCGCGAATATTTTTAATCCCGGCGAAATCACAAATAGACGAACAGGTCAATTCTGACCGTTACGTAGATGCCGATAGCAAATATATCGGATGTATATAGGGAAATATATACAATATATATATACAAAGGAGGGGGACGTTAGCTAGAATGATTATATCTAAAGAATGGCTGGACCGATTTTGACAAATTGCATCAATTCAGAATCTCCTCTTGGCATAAAAGTATAAAATCTAAAAATATCGCATAAAAAGATGCCAATAGATTTTCTTGTATTTTGTGACATTTTTTTATTTTTTCATATTTTTTATCGCATGCGATTTTTTTCACTTTGACTCATAATATTGAAGTGTAGGGTTAGGCATGGAAGGGCTAGGCCTTTTCTCTTTAAATATGTCCGCCATATACTTTGGGGTTGAAATGGACCAACAACTAAACATGTTCCGTTATAAAGGTCACAAATAGATACCAAAGGACACGAAATCTTACATGAAGTTAGAGTTTAGGACAGCGGGTAGAATGGACCACTACTTTTGTGTGAAAAAATACCAACATTGCTTACAGATGATATCCGAAATACACAAAAGGCGAACTTATGGCTTTTTATGCTGATTTCGTTGACGAATATAGCCAAGCATCGTAGACAAGCAAATCATATAAGTGAGTCTAAATTTAGAGATACACAGGGGTCTCTTGCTTTTGGAGATGATCGCAAAATATTTAAGGATTCAAATGAACCAAAAACAGAAAAAAAATCCTGATCACACAATTGAAGCCAATCGACACGCCTGAGAAGAGAATTAAGGACAAGGAAGGATTCTAACATTTTGGATGGAAAATGGACCAAAACAACTAACAGTATGACGGAGTGCTTAAATATTGGGTCAATGTCTCGTGACATAATTTCAAAAGCGAAATCTTCCAAAATCGATCTGGATATAAGGGGGCTTTTAACATATTGTAGTGTTGTAGGGTATCACATGGTCGGCCCCGCACGACTATAGCCTTTGCTTACTTGTTTCAATTTGACTTACAATTTTGAATTGTACATTTTCTAAAGTTTTTCTGTACCCTGCTACTCTATGTGTTGAGGGTATTATACACAGGTCACAATTATCGTCTGATCCTAACGAAATTTGGCATGGGGGTAGGGTTAGGATCAGAATTGAAGCCAATTGTTTTCGTCTAGTATTTTAAACGTCCGTTGGATTATATTTAGCTGTAAAATGGATCACAACTTTCGTGTGAAATTGTTTTGAATGCCTTTCAATACGAGGGAATGCGTAAATATTAGGCAAATGCCCCCGATCAAAAAGCTAAGGGTAATTTATAAAATTTATATTTTTTTAAAAGCCAATAGTCAATATTTCTAAATATACAATTTTTATAAAGTTCAGCTGCACTGTGATGTTATCAAAGGTTCCACAACACCTTCCGTATTTAAAAATAATGAAACGGTTTAATATGTTAATTCCATTGAACAACTGGATCTTAATTTGGTGCAACAAGGGATTTGAAACTCGAACGTTATAAAACAAAACACTTTTCAATTACCTTTAACCGATGTATGTGTTAGGAGAAAAAACAAAAGGACACAGTAGATAATTTTAAATGTCATTGTGCTTTTTCTTGTGATTCCTTTTAACCAATTATTTAATACAAAATGTCTCTGCTTTTTGTAATATGTTACACGGCTACACGTCTTTTTTTTTGGTTAAAAAGTATTCGTTTTTTGCGAAATATTTTTTTTTTTTTTTTTTTTTGAAAACTTGTTGATATCTTCGTTTGAATTTGTTGCGTGTTCTGCGGGGCGGACTTATTTCCGTTAGAGTTTGTGGTACAATTTAAACTGTCGACCGTAACTGAGTTTACATGGGGTTTTTATACCAACAGTCATGCCATGGGGAGCAGCAACATAACAACGGCAGACATACAGGCTGAAGACCAGCAATAGAAAAAAATCACATGCTACCTTTGAAACGGAGATACACACACACACATACCGAAACATTCCTATACAATATACTCAGACGCACACACATCTGTCTAAAGGATTGTATGCTGATAATGGATATGTTCGTGTGGCTAATAATACATAGAAAGGAATTTGTTGCAAGAACAGATAACGAAAAACGACCATTGGACAGTGTTACGGAACGTTGCATATTTTTACTTTACATTTTTCTCTTAAAAATACAATTATAAGAAGTAAATAACAGCTGTAGCAATGCGGGGGCGACCATGTGATACCCCACAATACTACAATATGGTAGAGACCCCCTTTATGTCCAAATTAATTTTGAAAGATTTCGCTTTTGAAATTATGTCATAGCCCCCAGATATTACCCTTAGCTGTTTGAACAGGGACCTTTGCCCAATATTTACGCACAAAGTGCTGTTAGTTGTTGTGGTCCATTTTATGCTAGACTTCTTCTCTGTCCTTAATTCTCTTCTCATGCAAAATTCCGTGTCGATTGGTTTCAATTATGTGATCAGGAAAATTTTTCTGTTTTGGATTCATTTGAACCCCTAAATATTTTGCCATCATCTCCAAATGCTCCAAATTTAGACTCATCTATATGATTTGCTTGTCTTTCACACAAAAGTAGTGTTCCTTTCTACTCGCTGTCTTAAACTCTAACTTCATGCGAATTTTCGTATGCTTTGCTTTCTATTTGTGACCTCTATAACGGCAGCAAGATCAGGAACATGTTTTGTTGTTGGTCCATTTCAACTCCTAAATATATTGCGGACATCTTGTAAAACCATAGACCTAGCCCTTCTGAGCCTAACCCTACCCTTATGAAAATTTTCGTGAGGATCTTACATAGGCCATATGTATATAATTACACCAACACGACGTGGACCTGCATAGGCAACTTTTGTCATAATCTATTACAATATTCAAATGCGAAACTTGAAAAAAATCTGTTTATAATGTAGCTAAAATCATCAAAATACCGAATATAGAGAGGTACCATGGGCGTTATAAAACGTGGACCTGCACAGACAATTTTCTGGCACGGAACATAATGTCGCTAAAATCATTAAAATACCGAATATCGGGGGTACCGTTATATGGCGGCTATACGAAGACTTGGACCTGCACAGACAATTTTCTGTCACATGCTCTAGTATTCAATACGAACTTCAAATACCAAATTTGAAATAGTTCCGGTAAATAATGTCTCTAAAATCATCAAAATATCCAATATCGGGAGGAACCGTTATATAGGGGGGTAATACGAAGAGGGGAACCTACATGGCCCATTTTCTGTCTTAGGCTGTAGTATTCATTACGAACTTCAAGTACCAAATTTGAAACAGTTCCGATAAATAATATCTCTAAAATCATCAAAATACCGAAAATAGGGAGGTATTATTATGTGTGGGCTATACGAAGACGTGGACCTACATGAACCATTTTCAATACCAATATTTTCTATACCTGCAAACATAATATACAGTTGAGTAAATTGTGATCATCTTACTTCATTTCGTTGGGAAGCTAGAGCGATTTCCACAGACAGACGGACTGATATTGCTAAATCGACATATAATTTTATGCTGATCAAGAATATATATACTTTGTGGGTTCTAAAATGTATATTTCGAAGTGTTACAAACGGAATGACAAATTTAATACCCTACTATGGTGGAGGGTATTAAAATAAGAAATATCACAAAATACTACAAAATCTATATTGACATCGTTTGATGCGATTTTTATAGATTAAATTCGTTTATACCAAGAGGGCATTTTGAATTGACAAAATTTGTCAAAATCGGTCCAACCATTCTTGAGATATAAGCATTCTAGCTAAAATCCCTTTACTTCGTATATACACATTGTATATATTTCGCTGTATATCCGATTTATTTACTATCGGCATATACGTCTATTTGTGATTGCGCCGGGTTTAAAAATATTCGCTGTTTAATGGAAATTAGACTTTTATCTATATCTATAAAAGAGGAAAATGTTTGTATGTTTGTTTGTTTGTAATTTATGGACTCGAAAACCGCTGAATAGATTTTCCTGAAAATTTCCATAAATACTGCAACATCGCCTGAAAGTAACATAGGCTACATAAATTTTTGAATTTCCACTTGGAACTGGAGATATAGCATCAGAATCGGAGGTACCTCCCAAAAATTTAGATTTTATATGCACATATCTATTAATTGGTTGAGGATACGGTCTCCAAATTTGGAATACGTAACGGAATTTGGAACAAAAATAAGTTTGCCAAATTATATTTTAATCGGTTCAGATTTGGATATAGCTCCCATATATATTTTCGACCGATTTTGTTCATTTGATGCCTCAAACGCAATATGAATGTTCGATTCCAATAAAATTTGGAATGTGTGACGGGATTTAATCCGAAAATAAATTTGTCAAATTATATTGAAATCGGTTCAGATTTGGATATAGCTCCCATATACATTTTCGGCGGATTTCATGTATTTGGTGGACCAAACACGATATGTATTTCCAATTGTAATGATATTTAAAATAAGTAACGGAATTAGGAGCCAAAATGAATTTGTCAAATTAAATTGAAATCGATTCAGATTTGGATATAGCTCCCATATATATTTTCGACCGATTTCATGTATTTGATGCACCAAACACGCTATGTATCTCTAATTTAAATGAAATTTGGAATGTGTAGCGGAAATTAAAACAAATATACATTTGTCAAATTATATTAAAATCGGTTCAGATTTGGATGTAGCTCTCATATATATTTTCGACCGATTTCATGTATTTTATGCACCATACACGATATGTATGTTCGATTCCAAAGAAATTTTGAATATGTAACGGGATTTTGATTAGAAAATAAATTAATCAAATTATATTAAAATCGGTTCAGATTTGGATATAGCTCCCATATATATTTTCCGCCGGTTTCACATATTTGATGCACAAAACACGATACGTATTTCCGACTCCAATGAAATTCGGCATGAGTGGCTAAATTTGGTACAAAAATAAATTTGAAAAATTATATTCAAATACGCTCAGAATATGGTGTAAAAGTATTTTTTTAAATTATATTTAAATCGGATCAGATTGGGATATGATTTTAATAAGAATGTCACTCAACTTTAGAAGATTGCAGTTTACTGCACGCTTGGTATTTGCTATGAAATAAATAAATCCGAAGGACAAACCCTTTGTGTATGTATGTCAGTTACTGCTTTTCTAATAGTTTTGGTTATTTACGCATTAAAGTAGTGCAACAATTTTTTTTTTTAATTTTTAAATTTGTTTTTTTCAACCAATATATATTTGTAAATAAAATTTTGAATGCATATAAAATCAAAAGAGGTAGCGAAGCGCGCCGGGTTCAGCTAGTTTAACACAAATGTTATGGTCTATTTAACCCACTAAATATTACACAATGACTATCCGAATTGGAAAGTTTCTGCCCAGCCCTAAACTCTAGCCCCATGCTAATTTCCACGTTGATTGGTCTATAGATGCGACCTGTAGATAAACTTCAAAATCAGGAAATTGTTCAGTTTTTGGTTCATTTCAACCACTAACCATTATGCGATCATCTCCAAAATCATTAGGGTTCTATTCTGACGCTAACCCCACCTCCATGCAAAATTTCAATTCGGGACATAATTGCGACCTGTAGCGTGATTACAAATTAACATAGAAAGAAATCATCATGACCTAAATCCCTAATTCTAAACTCCCAACTTTAGTACATGTTAATATATTTCGTATTGTATTTTAACAAAATACAATAGATGTATCTTATGCCGTAACACTGTTCCACGATGTGATAAATCTGATAACAACAACATCGTCAACATTTAACATGGCCTCTTCGGCTATTAGCGTACGACGCAGATGTAACGTCAAACATTCATTGGCTAATGTTTGACACTGAAGATAATAAAAACAACAACAACAAAAACAAATCCCACATAGCTGATACATACAACCACACAAAACAAAGTCCATATCTCTTCACGTCGAACTGCAAAATGCATTTTGGCATGTAGCCGCGATAATGAACAACATTTGTACAACAAATTGTCAAGAATTAACACCAACGCGATAAAGACGAAGGAGAAGGAGGACACCAACAAATACCACGAAATGGCCATCAACAGGTTGTTTTTTACCAAAACACAAACACACATAAAAACGCAACACAATGAAAGAAAAATTTGAATTGTGCGCATGTGATGGTGTGAAGAAGCTTTCCCATTGAACGCACATTGAAATGAAAAACACAAGAAATGAGCTTTGCCCACACAGATGTAAGGATGTGTGTGTGTGTGTGTGGAAGTGTAGGTGTTAAATACAATTGCAGGATAGGTTGTTCATACCATTGCCGCGCCAATATTTTTAGAACAACATTTCATTTTTGTTCCGCTGCATTTGGGGGATTTTTTTTTTTTTTTTTTTTTTTTTTTGGCTCTCATACGCAGTATAAAATTGCACCGCCTTTGATGTTCTTAATTCTGGGGGGATTTACACAGATAATCTGTTTCATAGAACTACGGAAGAGTCGAGGACTGGTACACCACAATAGGCGTGATTTATGGACAACTATATACCAGAGGGAGAGAGTATACATTACCATTTATTGGTTGCAAATAGAATATTTAATTCTCGAAATATGATATTAGACGCAGGAATTGTGTGAAGTTGTGAAATGATAACGACGGAACATTTTTTCATTGCAAAAACTTTGAACTTTGGCCGTATGTCTATGTCGACAGTGACGTTATAAGCGATTAAATAGATTTTTGTGGAATTTTTCATTTTATCCAATGATAATCAAAATATGACTAACAAATGTCGCCTTATGAG